ATTGGCAGAAGTTGAAAGTGAGTTGTTAAAGCTAAAAGAAGCAGAATGGTTGTTAAAGTGTAGCCAAAGAATAGATTACAAAAACTAAAAGTAGTAGAAAACATTTTTTAAATCCATCTAAAACCTCTACAATTAAATTAAACTCAAACCTAAATGTAGGAGAAAAGTAGCTAAATATTTATAGTAACAAAAGAAGACAAAAAAAAAAGAGTTGGAAAAATGTCATGTAGAAAACACTAAAATGTAAAATCAACAAAAAAAAAAAAGCTTAAAATAACAAAAGGCTAAATAGAAGCTAACAGCTAAAATGTACTGGTAGCAGAACAGAAGCTAAAAATAAAAAAATGACAAAATAAGAAAAAAAAAAAACAGAGAAGGTAAAATGCCAGCTAGAAGCTAACGCTAGCTAAAGACTAAAAGCAGCTGAACAGTAGCTAAAAACCAAAAGTATCATAAGTATTTGTACCGGTAGTAATATTGTAACAGTCAGCTAATAATAATGTTTCTGAGGAAACTGAAGAGATCTCAGTGTATTTCTAAAGGCAAACTATTTTAAAATCAAGTTAAATATAATTTATTTCTTGTTTTTTTTTTTGTTGTTTTTTTTACATGAAAGTTGCAAAACTCAAAAGTCTCAAATGAGTTGAAGGTTTTGACAAATAAATGGTTAAAATCTCAGGAGTGGTGAGAAAAAACAAGAAAATAAAGTTGTTGTTGCTGATGTAGATTAAATAAAATAAATACATTTGTTAAAAACTGCAAACAGGCTAAACTGAGTCAAACATGTAATATTTTGATTAATTCAAGGTGAATTTACTTTAATTTAATTTAAGTCTTCCACGAACAAACATGGAGGAGCTTCTTGTTGGGAGCGAGTCCCGGGGACTCAGCGGCTCCTCGGCCACTCGCCTGCCGCCCCGAGTGAAGCTCTCCCCGGTCAGAGAGTCGCTCGCGCTCCGCTGCAGACGAGGCGGAAGGAGCTCCGAAACCCGCACAAAACACCGAGGAATGAACCGGGCAGTGCACAGGAAACACGAACAGGACCCAGCGGTGAATTAGAGGAGGTTTGTTCCGGAGGAAATCGCTGCTTTTCCCCTTTTGAACACCGGGGGA